GAATACCCAGAAGTGACCAGGGTGAGTGGATTCCGGCTAAGGTTACCGGACGTCATCTTGGGGTACCACTTCCCCAGTGGCTGATTTTGGAGATGATGAGTGGCATGACCGAACCCGTGAGAGGATAAGCTACGGCTGGAGAGACACATGCGTGCATGTTCCTTTTACGCTCTACGGGGACTTGACTTGTTCAAGCCAGGCTTGCCTCCCCCGTGGTATATCTTTTCCATGCACGTATGCCATTAAACGTGATCGTCTCCTGCAGGAGACGTTATTCATTTATTTAGTGACATGCCTATTTTATTTTGTTTCGTATTATATTTTTAATGTCATTCTTCTTTTTTATGTATCTCCATGTACATTTATTTTTCTTTTTGTTTTGTACACAGTAGGCCACAGCATGAGTTTTAGTTTGTTTTAGTTGTAATGTGTTTTTTAGGGTTACTGCTGCGGGGCCTTGCGGCCCATGCCTTCTGGCTGGGTCGTGGGGCTCTATAGCTAGATCAAAACCCTTTTCCTCCCCGAAGTGGCGAAGGGAGTAAAAGGGGACAATAAAAAATACCAGTAGGTGCGGGATAAGGTACCTGTGGGTGTGGGGGTAAGGTACCTGTGGGTATGGGGGGTAAGATACCTGTGGGTGTGGGGATAAGGTACTAGTGGGTGTGGTATAAGGTACCTGTGGGTGTGGGGTAAGGTACCAGCAGGTGTGGGGTTACACAAGGCTGAAAGAGAGACCGCAGGGCACAGTTTAACCTGAGTCAAAGCTTGTATAATAAGAACAAATCTTTGGCGGCGGCGTATGTCCTCTCCGGAGACTGGAGGGTTACACCCTCCGAGGTGGAGCCTGGTCGCCTCTTTGAGTTCTGGGGGAACCTCTTTTCCAGGCCCTCGCCGCTGGACCACCGGCTTATGGAGCGCGGCTCTGGCCCTGCCGTTCAGCAATTATTAGAGCCTATATTACCAACTGAGGTCTAGAGTGCTCTACGGACACGTATGGTCTCAGCACCCGGCCCTGACGGCATAACTACGCGTCTCCTCAGGTCCATACCGCTCAGGGTGCTCACTAAAATGTTCAACCCGCGGCTAGCTAGCCGCTCCCTGCCACGTCCTTTCTGAGCGTGAAAAACGGTGCTGATAGCTAAGATTCCTAGGCCAGAAACCCCCCCTCACACTATCGCCCATCACCATGTCTTCTACGTTAGTGTGGCTGTTTCATAAGATCGTGAACAGCCAATTTTCTCAAACTATCAGGATCGACGGGAGACAGAAGGCGTTCATCCCTGAGGATGGATGCGCTGAAAACCTGGCGATCCTAGATGCTCTTCTGGCTGAGGCCCGAGCGCTGAAACATCAGCGCTGAAACTTGCGTTCCTCGACATGAAGAAAGCTTTTGATAGCGTCTCTCTTGCGGCCATCGATCGGGCCATGGAGCGCAAGGAAATCTCTAAGCCTCTTAGGGATTATATTATGTCGGGCTATGATGGCGCCTCGACTATCATAACCAGCCAGAAGGAGAAATCAGGGGTAATCCCTGTGACTAGGGGAGTCAAACAGGGCGATCCCTTGTCCCCATTTCTTTTTAATTTGGTGATTGATGAGGCAATCACCAATGCAAAGAAGCTGGAGCTGAGGATTCGTCAGGGGGAGGAAAAGGTGTCAGTACTAGCGTTTGTGGACGATCTGGTCGTGGCGGCGGAGACGCCGGCTGGCCTTCAGAAACTGATAGATATTATATGTGACACATTGAGTGGCGCTGGCTTGAGGATCAACACGGGAAAGTGCCGATTACTGAGCCTACAGATCGATGGCAAGCGCAAGAAGTGGTATCTCGCCTCGCAAACGAGGTTCCAAGTCGAGGGCGCTGCCATAGACTCTATTGGAATCACTGACGAGTATAAGTATATGGGTATTCTCGTCGTTGCCGGTGGCAGGGCCCTCTCCTATGGCTCTGTTTGAGGAGGGCATTATTAACATCCCACAGGCCTCCTCAAATCCCAGCAGGGGTTATACGTGTTGAGGCATCACCTCGTTCCTAAACTGAACCACTGTCTGATTGTGGGTGAGGTATTTAAGACTCAGCCAGCGAGAATCGACCGGAGGATGAGGCAGGCTATTCGTAGCTGGCTCCGTCTATCGCATGACACCCCGAATGCGTTCTTCTACACTGACTGAAAGGACGGTGGTCTGGGGATGCCCGAATTTGCCTCTTCAATCTGGCTACATAAGAAAAAGCGTTTCGGCAGTCTTTTGGAGTCGGCTGACTCAACAGTCCGGGCAGCGGCCCTTCTACCGGTTATCCAAGATAAGATGCTTCGGTGGATGGGCCTGGCCTTGATTGGGGGTGAACGGTAACCAACAGAGCCGAGTGCTCTCAGACATGGCGGGAGCGACTCTACCGCACGGCCGATGGTGCTGGGCTGAGGTCCTCGTGCAAGGTTCCCTCGTGCCTGGGACCCGCCTCGGTCCCAGGCCTTGGTTCCAGGCATCTCGTCCAGCATCCGCATTTTGAGCGGTGGTGAGCTCGCTCACGCAGTCCACGTGAGGGTTAACGCTTTGGCCACGCCGTCCAGGGCCGCTAGGGGACACCCAGGTGCCAGTGGCATGTGCGATACATGCAGGAAACCTGGCACTCTTGGGCATATCTCACAAGCATGCCCGAGGACGCATGAAGCACGGGTGGTACATCATGACGATATCACCCGATTTGTAGCTGGTCGATGGAACAGCGAGGGTACGAGGTAGTGAGGGAGGCGCGGATACCCGAAGGTGGGACCTTTTGCAAGACTGACATCATTGCCTGGAAAGGGAACGAGGCCATAATCTTAGACACCCAGGTCTCGGCTGACGGCTTTCCACTCTCCCGGCCACACCAGAGCAAGTGTGATCGATAACGCACCCCCGAGATCCTTCAATGGGTTAAGGATTATACCGGTGCCAATGCAGCTTCTGCCTCCTCAATCACTTTGAATTGGAGAGGCGGGTTCTGCATGGAGAGTGCCCGTGTTCTTAAGAGATTGGGGTTGACTAATGGGGACATGGAGATCTGTTCCGTCAAAGCCCTAACCTGGACGTATGCAATTTATCGCATATGGTCCAAGGCATGGGAAGGGGTTGACAAAGATCACCCCTGGACATGGGCATGGGTGGTCTTATCCTTGTGCCCCGAATACCCACGAAACAACCAGGGTGAGTGGACTTCGGCTAAGGTGCCGGACGTCATCTTGGGGTACCACTTCCCCAGTGGCTATTGTGGAGATGCTGGGTGGCTTGACCGAACCCGTGAGAGGATAAGCTACGGCCGGAAGGACACATGCGCGCATGTTTCTTTTACGCTCTCCGGGGACTTGACTTGTTCAAGCCAGGCTTGCCTCCCCCGTGGTATTTATTTTCCATGCGCGCATGACAATTAAGGTTGGTCGTCTCACCTTGAGACGTTATCCATTCACTTTTTTGGCATGCCTAAGCCCTTATGTTTATTTTATTACATGCTATATTTTAGTATGTATCTTTTTTATGTCTATGTGTATTTTTTGTTTCTTATGTTACCATCGTAGGCCATACATGCATTTTAGTTGATTTTAGGTATAATATGTTTTTTAGGGTTGCTGCTGTGGGCCAAGCGACCCATGCCCTGTGGCTGGGCCGCTGGGTTCTTTAGCTAGAACAATACCCTTATCTCCCCAGAAGTGGCAGGGGAGTTAAGGGGACTAACAAAAAAATGCCAGTGGGTGTGGGGGTAAGGTACCAGTGGGTGTGAGGGTAAGATACCAGTGGGTGTGGGGGTAAGGTACCTGTGGGTGTAGGGGTAAGGTACCAGTGGGTGTGGGGGTAAGGTACCAGTGGGTGTGAGGGTAAGATACCAGTGGGTGTGGGGGTAAGGTACCTGTGGGTGTAGGGGTAAGGTACCAGTGGGTGTGGGGGTAAGGTACCAGTGGGTGTGAGGGTAAGATACCAGTGGGTGTGGGGGTAAGGTACCTGTGGGTGTAGGGGTAAGGTACCAGTGGGTGTGGGGGTAAAGTACCAGTGGGTGTAGGGGTAAAGTACCAGTGGGTGTAGGGGTAAGGTACCAGTGGGTGTAGGGTAAGATACCAGTGGGTGTAGGGGTAAGGTACCAGTGGGTGTAGGGGTAAGGTACCAGTGGGTGTAGGGGTAAGGTACCAGTGGGTGTGGGGGTAAGGTACCAGTGGGTGTAGGGGTAAGGTACCAGTGGGCGTAGGGTAAGATACCAGTGGGTGTGGGGGTAAGGTACCAGTGGGTGTAGGGGTAAGGTACCAGTGGGTGTAGGGGTAAGGTACCAGTGGGTGTAGGGGTAAGGTACCAGTGGGTGTAGGGGTAAGGTACCAGTGGGTGTAGGGGTAAGGTACCAGTGGGTGTGGGGGTAAGGTACCAGTGGGTGTAGGGTAAGATACCAGTGGGTGTAGGGTAAGGTACCAGTGGGTGTAGGGTAAGATACCAGTGGGTGTGGGGGTAAAGTACCAGTGGGTGTAGGGGTAAAGTACCAGTGGGTGTAGGGGTAAGGTACCAGTGGGTGTAGGGTAAGATACCAGTGGGTGTAGGGGTAAAGTACCAGTGGGTGTAGGGGTAAAGTACCAGTGGGTGTAGGGGTAAGGTACCAGTGGGTGTAGGGTAAGATACCAGTGGGTGTAGGGTAAGATACCAGTGGGTGTAGGGTAAGATACCAGTGGGTGTAGGGTAAGATACCAGTGGGTGTAGGGGTAAGATACCAGTGGGTGTAGGGGTAAAGTACCAGTGGGTGTAGGGTAAGGTGCCAGTGGGTGTAGGGTAAGGTACCAGTGGGTGTGGGGGGTAAGGTACCAGTAGGTATAGGGGTAAGGTACCAGTGGGTGTAGGGGTAAGGTGCTAGTGGGTGTATGGTAAGGTACCAGTGGGTGTAGGGTAAGGTACCAATGGGTGTGAGGGGGGGGTAAGGTACCAATGGGTGTGAGGGTAAGGTACCAGTGGGTGTGGGGGTAAGGTACCAGTAAGGAGGGGCGACGTACCTGTAGGGGGGCTTGCTGTTGGTGGGTGGTGAGGGCGGGGTGGAGGAGTCTGCCTGCACCAGCTCGGGCAGGTCACTGGCGCCCTCCAGCCAGTTACCAGTCATGAAGGCTCCTCTGGCGTTGAGACGCGGGAGCCAGTCCATGGCTGTCAAACTCTTGTTCAGCTCCGCCATGGCTCTCACTCTGTAGGGGAAGGTCACGCTAGTTAGTGGTCACTCTGGGGGTAAGGTCACTCTTGTTAGTGGTCACTCTGGGGGTAAGGTCACGCTTGTTAGTGGTCACTCTGGCGGTAAGGTCACTCTTGTTAGTGGTCACTCTGGGGGTAAGGTCACTCTTGTTAGTGGTCACTCTGGGGGTAAGGTCACGCTAGTTAGTGGTCACTCTGGGGGTAAGGTCACTCTTGTTAGTGGTCACTCTGGGGGTAAGGTCTTGTTAGTGGTCACTCTGGGGGTAAGGTCACGCTTGTTAGTGGTCACTCTGGGGGTAAGGTCACTCTTGTTAGTGGTCACTCTGGGGGTAAGGTCACGCTTGTTAGTGGTCACTCTGGGGGTAAGGTCACGCTTGTTAGTGGTCACTCTGGGGGTAAGGTCACGCTTGTTAGTGGTCACTCTGGGGGTAAGGTCACTCTTGTTAGTGGTCACTCTGGGGGTAAGGTCACTCTTGTTAGTGGTCACTCTGGGGGTAAGGTCACTCTGGGGGTACGGTCACTCTTGTTAGTGGTCACTCTGGGGGTAAGGTCACCCCTGTTAGTGGTCACGGTGTGGGAAGGTCACCCCTGTTAGTGGTCACGGTGTGGGAAGGTCACACTAGCGTCAATAGTCACCATTCTAAGGGTCATTATAGGTATAACACACAAAGGTAACCATTAGGGAGGCACTTGCCATTACAATGACTGGAGGCGAGGCCATTACAATGACTGGAGGCGAGGCCATTACAATGACTGGAGGCGAGGCCATTACAATGACTGGAGGCGAGGCCATTACAATGACTGGAGGCGAGGCCATTACAATGACTGGAGGCGAGGCCATTACAATGACTGGAGGCGAGGCCATTACAATGACTGGAGGCGAGGCTGCATATCCACACACACCCTTAACTGTCTATGTGGATCAATAACATATCTGGTAATCGTGATGTTAACTACTGACTTTATCCATGTTATTTTAACATTCAGTTAATGGCTGAACACCTGAAGTTCATCATTTTAGATGTTAAACGTAGTTCATAAAGTAATATAATACCTGTTATGTAAGAAAAACTTCAGGAATATTTTTGGATCAATTAGTTGACAGTGAGAGAAATATTGCAGCCTCCTTGTTCCTGTCTGTCTGTCTGTCTGTGACTGACAGTAGACACGTGACTCGCAACAGATGTCCCTCGGAATGTTCTGGAACACTCACACACTCGCTTTCCCGGTTCGAGTCTCCTGGAGTCTTTCCTGGTTCGAGTTAGAGAAACAAGTCTCCTAATCTACCTTGGCCTATACACGAAGTTATATTAATATTATTATATATTTGCGAAAATGCTGTTTCCTAAGAACAGAAAAATTGACGAATGCGGGTTTTGGGGTAGGCTAGGCTAGGCTAGGCTAGGCTAGGCTAGGCTAGGCTCGTTCAAGTGGCGGTTCTTCCCAAATACCCATTACCGATTTAAAATTTCTGTATTTTCAAAATTATTATTTTCTCAAGATAATATTATTATATTCTTGAGTGTGTTGAACAATTAGCCTAACTTAGGTTAGGTTAGGTGTTCAGGTTTCTCTGCAAATTATTTGTATTTCCAGAACTTGGATGATGCATTCAGTAACCTGTCCTTAGGCGAGGCTCGTTAAAGCGGCAGCCACCACCCCCTGATGCATTTTTAACGTACTGTGTATTAAAGAAAAGTTTGTTCTCATATACAATTTAATATTCAGACGATGAGTCACAAGTCGTGTGATAGAAGATAAGAGAGGATATATCTAATCATCCTACTGATTGGTCTTCTTGTAAAATAATCTTGCCTGCCTCTGCTCTTCACAGACGCCGTCTTGTCGAAGCGGCTCTGATACCCAACATGAACCTGAGTCCTGGCTTTGTTGCTGTTGACTCTTCCCTCTCACAGTTCCGACTCAAATGCTCCAATCTTCTTGCCAAACGTGACCAGACTTAAGCTCTGTCCCTGTTGTTTATTCCTACCGTCTCTTATTCTCATCCCCTTCTTTACCGTTCCACTTATTCTTGCCTCTTTCTCTTACCTGCTCCTCACCTTTCATCTCTCTCTCTTTCTCTCTCTCTCTCTCTCTCTCTCTCTCTCTCTCTCTCTCTCTCTCTCTCTCTCTCTCTCTCTCTCTCTCTCTCTCTCTCTCTCTCTCTCTCTCTCTCTCTCTCTCTCTCTCTCTCTCTCTCTCTCTCTCTCTCTCTCTCTCTCTCTTAATTTATTTATTAGTCTGTACGTTACTCTCTTCTTTATGGGCTCACTATAGTCCGAGCTATATGCACATTTCGTTTTGAGAAGCTGAATCTGAAACAACAACAACATACTCTCGTCCATCACAAGACTTGATATTAGTCCCGGGACGGACCTAAACGTCGTGGCTTGGATATCATAATTTAATATTATTATGTTTTAGCTGTACCCGGCCACGCATTGCTGTGGCTCAGCAACGCATGCACGTTGCTGAGCCACAGCAACCTTCCCCTGTCCCCCAGTCCTCCCCATCATTTTCCATTCCCCTTTCCCCTCGTCCCCACCATCCCAAACTCCCCCGTCCCCTCGTTCTCCCTACCATTACCCCCTCCCAAGTCCGCTCGTCCTACCTACAATCCCTCACTCACGTCCCCTCGTTCTCCCTACCATTACCCCCTCCCAAGTCCGCTCGTCCTACCTACAATCCCTCACTCACGTCCCCTCGTCCTCCCCACCATTCCCCACTCCCTCGTCCATTGCATTCCCAAATGATCTGATGTATGCGAATGGAACGTTGTATCAAAATTTCAAAGCAATCGGTGAAGAACTTTCGGAGACTAGTGATTTTGAACACAGGAACACTTAAATTTTTTATTGATGTAGATAGTTTGCTGTATAGGCAGGGGAAGGTTAGGTTAGGTGGGTGATTAGGTTCAGTTGGCGAGTATTGGTATTTGTGGTACGTTGGTGAACTCTACCTCGGAGTGTGGTGGTGGTGGTAGTTTACCTGGGAGTGTGGTGGTGGTGGTAGTTTACCTGGGAGTGTGGTGGTAGTTCACCTGGGAGTGTGGTGGTAGTTTACCTGGGAGTGTGGTGGTAGTTCACCTGGGAGTGTGGTGATGGTGGTTTACCTGGGAGTGTGGTGGTGGTGGGAGCAGTTTACCTGGGAGTGTGGTGGGAGCAGTGTACCTGGGAGTGTGGTGGTGGTGGTAGTTTACCTGGGAGTGTGGTGGTAGTTTACCTGGGAGTGTGGTGACGGTGGTAGTTTACCTGGGAGTGTGGTGGAAGCAGTTTACATGGGAGTGTGGTGGAAGCAGTTTACCTGGGAGTGTGGTGGGAGCAGTTTACATGGGAATGTGGTGGGAGCAGTTTACATGGGAGTGTGGTGGGAGCAGTTTACCTGGGAGTGTGGTGGGAGCAGTTTACCTGGGAGTGTGATGGGAGCAGTTTACCTGGGAGTGTGATGGGAGCAGTTTACCTGGGAGTGTGGTGGGAGCAGTTTACATGGGAGTGTGGTGGGAGCAGTTTACCTGGGAGTGTGGTGGGAGCAGTTTACCTGGGAGTGTGATGGGAGCAGTTTACCTGGGAGTGTGATGGGAGCAGTTTACCTGGGAGTGTGGTGGGAGCAGTTTACCTGGGAGTGTGGTGGGAGCAGTTTACCTGGGAGTGTGGTGGGAGCAGTTTACCTGGGAGAGTGGTGGGAGCAGTTTACCTGGGAGTGTGGTGGGAGCAGTTTACCTGGGAGTGTGGTGGGAGCAGTTTACCTGGGAGTGTGGTGGGAGCAGTTTACATGGGAGTGTGGTGGGAGCAGTTTACCTGGGAGTGTGGTGGGAGCAGTTTACCTGGGAGTGTGGTGGGAGCAGTTTACCTGGGAGTGTGGTGGGAGCAGTTTACCTGGGAGTGTGGTGGGAGCAGTTTACCTGGGAGTGTGGTGGGAGCAGTTTACCTGGGAGTGTGGTGGGAGCAGTTTACCTGGGAGTGTGGTGGGAGCAGTTTACCTGGGAGTGTGGTGGGAGCAGTTTACCTGGGAGTGTGGTGGGAGCAGTTTACATGGGAGTGTGGTGGGAGCAGTTTACCTGGGAGTGTGGTGGGAGCAGTTTACATGGGAGTGTGGTGGGAGCAGTTTACCTGGGAGTGTGGTGGGAGCAGTTTACCTGGGAGTGTGGTGGGAGCAGTTTACATGGGAGTGTGGTGGGAGCAGTTTACCTGGGAGTGTGGTGGGAGCAGTTTACCTGGGAGTGTGGTTGGAGCAGTTTACATGGGAGTGTGGTGGGAGCAGTTTACCTGGGAGTGTGGTGGGAGCAGTTTACCTGGGAGTGTGGTGGTGGGAGCAGTTTACCTGGGAGAGTGGTGGGAGCAGTTTACCTGGGCGGTGCAGCGTCGTGACTCATTACTAACGACCAATTTTCTCGGCCCCGGATGTGACTCACTCATCCTGACCCAGTAGAGGTCACCCTGTGACCTTACTGACCCAATAGAGGTCAACCTGTGACCTTACTGACCCAGTAGAAGTCACCCTGTGACCTTACTGACCCAGTAGAGGTCAACCTGTGACCTTACTGACCCAGTAGAAGTCACCCTGTGACCTTACTGACCCAGTAGAGGTCAACCTGTGACCTTACTGACCCAGTAGAGGTCAACCTGTGACCTTACTGACCCAGTAGAGGTCAACCTGTGACCTTACTGACCCAGTAGAAGTCACCCTGTGACCTTACTGACCCAGTAGAGGTCAACCTGTGACCTTACTGACCCAGTAGAGGTCAACCTGTGACCTTACTGACCCAGTAGAGGTCACCCTGTGACCTTATTGACCCAGTAGAGGTCACCCTGTGACCTTATACTGACCCAGTAGAGGTCAACTTGTGACCTTACTGACCCAGTTGAGGTCAACTTGTGACCTTACTGACCCAGTAGAGGTCAACTTGTGACCTTACTGACCCAGTTGAGGTCAACTTGTGACCTTACTGACCCAGTAGAGGTCAACTTGTGACCTTACTGACCCAGTAGAAGTGAACTTGTGACCTTACTGACCCAGTTGAGGTCACCTTGTGACCTTATTGACCCAGTAGAAGTGAACTTGTGACCTTACTGACCCAGTAGAAGTGAACTTGTGACCTTACTGGCCCAGTAGAGGTCACCCTGTGACCTTACTGACCCAGTTGAGGTCACCCTGTGACCTCTACTGGCCCAGTAGAGGTAACCCTGTGACCTTACTGGCCCAGTAGAGGTCACCCTGTGA